CTGATTGCACTGAAAGCAAATCAGGTCTGATGCTAAAACCGCAGTAAGCAGGGGCCGTACAATCCCTGCTCATATGCCCATTCCGACCGCACTTGTAGCAGCCGGAACTCCCTGCCTTGCACGCCCCCTCGTGCATCCTCCACACTTGCCACACCGACCGTGGCTCTACTGACTCCTGGACCGTGATCTGAAACCTTGGGCTTTTTGCCCGCACTACCTGAACCCGAAACCGCCTCCGGTTTCCTCTTCTCTCCATCTCGAGATCAATCTCCCTCTCCCTGGCTCTAGCAATCATGTCGTCCAGCGTTTTACAACTGGACCGGCTCACAAACATGCGGATATCACTCCGCAACATCTCGTGATAACGGGCCTTCTTCATCTCCTCATCGGCTGCATACTGAGGAACAAGAAGAGCCCTCTCCCTGAACTTGGCGGTGATCTCCGCCACTGACTCGGTAGTTTGAGTAAGATCTTGGAACTCCCTGGCTAGCTGCTGCACCTCAATGACCGGTGCAAACTCCGCCCTGAACCTGGTAGAGAAATCAGTCCAGGTCATAGTATCCAACGCCGCATCATCCCCGATGGCGTGTCCGACCTCCTCCCACCAATCCCGTGCCCTGTCCTTCAGTAGACAGGACGCCAATCTGACCTTGTCCCCCTCGGGACACCTGCTGGTGCGGAAGGCGTTGGCCACATCCGCCAACCATCTAGTACTCGCTATGGGGTCCCGCGCCCCATGATAGTCTGGAGCTCCGCACGCCCTGAACTCCCTGAATGTAAGAGTGCGCGACCCCATCACGGCCGCCATCTCAGCCCGGAAAGTACTCAGTCTCTCATCCATCATCTCTAAAATACCCTCCTTGATCGAACCGAAGATCACAGGAGTCTGCTCCAATATGATGCGGGTAACCTCAGAAGAAAGGAACTCTCTGGTCTGCTCATCCATCTGCCCGACCTCCGGGCCTGATCCCGATCCTGATCCCCCTCTGGCATCTGAGCTGCCGCCTGCTGGTCTCGGACGCAAAACTACCATTCTGAAACATATCATAACAACATCAGAACACTGAAATATCTCAAGGGATCATGACACTGCTACTAGCTTCCTGGTCTTGTCTTGGCCTTCCTTGATTCGAGTACGGATCCTCTGCTTTCAGTAGTACGGGCCCATACTACCTTCCACATCTATCCGTACTTTCCTCAAGAACTGCCTTGACTCCACCAAGTCACTTCTACTACTGCTATTCTCTGCTACTCTCATCCTAGGCTTGCCCTAGGAAAATCTCAGGCTCAACACAACTGGTCCTCAGCTGCTGAAGGTTTCCTCATAACGCCAATTAGCCATTACCTAAACACCATCACATGTGATGAGGATCAGATAATCCTTCGAGTAAAAGACCCGTCCCTATAACGGTTGGACTCAAACAAGAGCTGCGCAATAGGGCCAGTTCAGTACTCTGAGATTATTCACTCCTAGTCACATGTGGTGTGACGTGTTCACCTAATGGCTAACTCCCATCACTCGGAACCCCACTAACAAGCAAAGCAAGCAGCATTCGGACACGGAAAACAGACTCAAGCAAACTATTCTCGTAACAAGAAACTGCACTAGCATAAGATGCTAAGCTCCTGCTATCAGGCATAACCTAATCAGGCTATCCTACTGCTGTCTACTCAGTACTAGCATGCAATACTCATAAAGCTGTAACACATAAGCAGGCACATAAGGCATTCTCCTAAATCCTTAGTCCTATACTAGCGTGCTGTTCTACTAAAACTGAAATTGAACAAATAACTTGTATGGGTAATTTGGGAGTACTTACTTGAGCTCGGCTGACGCATGCACACACTCTATCTTGTTTAAAAGATTCTTCCTTTCTAAGTACTTTCAAATTCTTTTTATACAACGTTTTTATTTTAATA